TTTAGTTACATGTAAATGGTGTTATTTATTAAAAAATAATATAAACTTATAGGAATGGATACAAGACGAGAACTTATAATTCGAAAACAAACATTATCTGAATTATTTCTCATAAAAAAAAAACATGATTAGATATAATTGTTATGAGACATGGTTATAAAGTTAAATTCACTTTCAACTTTCAAATATAAAACTACGAGTATGATACGGGGACATGTAATTTAAATTGCTAAATTTAATTTCCACTTTCCTATTTATTTCAAATATTTAGACATGATATGACGGGTACAAGAAGATAACGTATACTTCCGATAACAAAACTACAATAAATCCATGTATTAAAAAAAATAGAAATACCTAAATCTTTAGAAAACAAAAAGGCTAAAACATGAATCTTTGAATTGAAGAAAGTAATGAGAAATAAAGATGAAACGGAAAGATCAATAAAATTAAAAAATCGAACAAGGATTGTGTATGCTAGGATTACAGACAGTGCATTGTGAACGAAAATGGTGGGAGCATGTGACTTAGATTGATAATTAGATTTTTATTAGTTTGATAAAAATAAATATTTAAACGAGAAATACGGGTATCCCGTCTAAATATTTTACCAAGTTTCTTATAATAAACATTGGCAAATGATTATGTTTTAAAAAGAAACGATTATGGGACAGAAATTTTATGACAGATAGAAGACGGGACGGGACGGGGCGGGGTGGGACGGGACGGTTCAGGACAAGACGGAAAGGGACAGGACGGGTTTTCCATTCTAAACTACACATAAAACAGTTCAAACTAAAGCCAAACCCAAATCCGATTTAACATCTCTAAGCAAACAGTGAAATATTTTGATTAATTTAAAAAATAAACAAGTAATATCATTTATCATTTTTATTTAAATAATTTTAAAATTGTATTATGTAATGCAATATCTATATTTTACAACTGTGTGTCTATATATAGTTTATCAAATAAACTCATATAACAAAATTTTACCAAAATAGCATCTACTTAACAAATCGTAATTTTGTAAAAATAACTCCGCACATACGTGCGGGTCCGTCACTAGTCTTTATGTATTACAACAACTTGTTATCACCCGGACTCACTAATCAAATTGTATGGTCAATTGGTCATGAATCTCCGTGGTTAAGAAATTGTACGTTAACAGGAAAAAGTCGAAGTTCTTGCCTCTTGGGTGTGTTTGCAATTTGCAAATCAGTCATTTTTGGTAATCTCATTAATTATTTGGATTTATATGGTCTTGAAGGTTGTAGATTTTGAAGTTGTTTTTGGTTTTAGTTTTCACCAAAAAAAAATATATAACTATTTTATAGCCAATCAAGATGATAAGAAAATTGATATTTCTAAAATATATAGGATTATCTAAAATATGTTATCTAGATTTGGATGGTTTTTGTCAATTTTCAAAGAAACTCTAAAATCTATTTTTATTAGGCCTTGAATATTTACTAATTTTAAGTGGCTTTTGGTTTCAGTTTTCTTCTAAAAACTTACTATTTATTGCCATTCAAGATTTTATAAAATTGGTTTCTGTAAAAAAAGCTGGGAATCTAGTTTCCGGGAGATTTTATCCATATTCAAAGAGAACCCAAAACTCCTATAGTGGTTTCTCTAATGCATGAGTGTTTTTTAGTTTCAATTTCAATTTTTATTATTTATTATTTATTTATTTTTTACTTTTTAGCAAAAACCAAATATTTAGAAGCCAAAAACTAAAATCCAAAAACCAAAAGCTAAATCCCAATTTAAACTCATTCCATTCATGCACTTGACTTGATTTTTGGTTTTCCTATTTTAATTGTTTTAAAAAGTATTTGATACAAAAACTAAAAATCATAAACGAAAATCTAAAATCCAAATTCTAAAAACTATAATCCAAAACCCACTTAAAACTTGCAAACATTGAAGGACTATATTTTGATTTTGATGGTCAATCTGTCTACATTTTTAATTAGGTTGTTTTATTTTGAATTTTTTTATCCACAAATTGGTTAATTAGTCTATACAAATTAATCAGAACCAAATTAAACCGAATCAAATTCAAGTTTGATCTAGCAAATTAAATAAACTAAACATATATATTCTCTAGATTTAAATTACTTTAAATTAGTTATAAGTATGCAATTTAAAGAAGAGCCAAAAAAAGAAAAACAGAAAAAGAAAGAAGAAGAACCAACCAAAGTCAAATCGGTACGTCTCATAGATACAAACCAAACCAGACCCAAATTAACCCGATTAATCAAATTCATTAACTAATCAGAACTTTGATCATTTCATAGATAAGTCTTTTGTCTATAGGCAATGTGAATCTAAGGCATCCCAACGCTGCACATGAATGGTCTTCAAGTTAACTTTGAATACACGAAAATTATAGAAAAAAGTTCAATGATTTCACACTTGCCCCCTAAGAGGCATTTTTAGTAACCAAAGAGGAATTTTTGGGCATTCATTGCTGCCACAAAGGCGGTCACTATTTGCAAGATGCATGTGACTATATTAATACATGTAAGCACTTCTCTTCTTCTTTTATTTCAAAATTTAAATCAGTCACTCCTACGAAAATATTATAGGCATGACCAAAAATAAATAGTAATCGTATTTTTGACCGTAACTATACCATTTTAAAATTGTATAAATCATTTTAATATTGCAATTATATTTAATTATAACCGTTATACTCGTATTTAATCACAATCATTTTATTATATAAATTGGTTAAAGTTTTAAAATCAAGAAAAATTATCTTCGTAACAACTATAACCACGTTCATGCCTATTTAGAAATGATACATAATTCGTAGAAGTTCGAATACATGGATTTTTTTTTCTTACGCATATCCCAAATTTTTATTATTATTTTTAAAATAACAATGGCTTAGACATATTCTTATTAGATAGGAAGAACAAGGTTTACAACATTCAAACTTGAAATGTTTGCCATTAGTTGTCACGGGTCCTATTCGGCGCATGTTCTCAAGTTATTTCCAACTTTTGTAAACCCTAATAAATGTGTTAGATTCAAAAAAACTATATTCCTTACTATTAAATTTATAAAGTCCCTACTCTATATTAAGGTCAAATATATCGTCCCATATAAAGTTTTGGCAATAAAATTCATAAAAATTGACTAGACATAGTTTTGGAATGCAAATTATCTTAATACATCTCTCATTCCTCAATCTTAATTATAATAAACCGTCGAAGATTTTCAAGTGAATATAACTTTTTAACCATAAGGCATAAACACAAATCGATCGATACTACAAATTAGCAAGTTGTTGGATAATAATAAATGCTAACCTTAATGATGCTAACCTTAATAAAGTGTCACTGAAATGGAATTCTCCAAAAATAGGAATATTAATATCTTTTGTTGTATGCATTTCTTGAATTTACAATATTCTCCACTTCTTTTCACCCATACATGATTACTACAACACATCAAAATCACAAATTTGTGAAAATAAATTTAATTTATAAACATTCCATGGCCGTTTTGCAGCTGTATAAATTAATAAAATTCAACACGAGTTTATTTATATAATCCCCACAAATTTATTTTTCTTTTCTAGAAAGAATATTCCCTTTATTTAATGGTTTTTTCTACTCACATTTTGATTCTCTCGCCAGCATATAATACTGTAATAACTTTCATTAATTATGTAATTAATTAATTGCTAACATGATTTTAGATTAATGTATTATAAAAATAAAAAACAGAACCGCATAAAGATAAAACTTGATTAGTTATAAAATAACGGAAGGTAGTTTTGTCTTTTTTTCGAAACTATAACACCGTTCTTATGATGATGAATTGATGATGACGTGTAATGTAATAGCTTCGCTTCATCTTCCCTATCTCTTCATATAGTGAAATAAAAATAAAAATGGTTTCTTTAGATTTCAATTTCATTAAGACAAGTGAATCAGCTTGTCCCCATAGGATCTTATCGGTGTTAAAACTCACGAAACCTTCGACGAAGTAGTCATCTAAAAGCTTTAGATCTCTCTCTCTCTCTCTTCGAGTTTGACTCGTTTGCTCATTTCTTTGATTCTCTCTCTCTCTCTCCTTGTTACTTGCAGGCGATGACTCTTCGTTGGGTTTGATCGAAATCTTCCTAAATTTGTGTTTTGTCTTCTGGGTTTTACATTTTCTCAGTAAATTCAGAGACTTTATTAGGAATTTTTTGTAAAGGTTAAGTGTTTTTTTTTTTGTGGGTACAGAGGAAGAGGAACTGCAGTTTCAAAAAGCTTCAATATTTGGTTAGTTTTTTTCTTGGAATTTTGTGTTTAATTGTGTCACATTAATGAGAATATTAAAATTCATTACTTTGTTTGTTCTTGTATTAAAATTCAAGAAGAACAAAGACAAGATTCATGTGTTTTGTTTAGTCTTATTTAGATCCTGCACTGTATACGAGATCTAATTTAAGTTTGACCTTTTTTGTTGCAGAGATAAAAATAAACAATGCTTGAAGGGAAACTGAGATCAGGAGTTTATAGATCATTTATAATGTGTGATGATCCAAGAGATGTTGTTGAATGTGGTGCTATTAAGAAACAGAGTAAAGGTCGTAGTAGTAACATTAGATGTGACCGTCCTTTGAAAACGAAGGAGAGATCCGAAATGGTTGTGGCTCCTCCTAGGAAGAGTACTGAGGATGATGCTCCTCGTTCCTCTATGCAGCTTTTGAGAGTGTCTAAAGGGATTCAGAAACTTAATGTTGCTATTGATTCATTGTCTAAAGGGTTTAGCTTTGAGGCTGCGTCGTCTAGGCCTGAGGATATAGCGAAAGATTTGTTGAGAGGAGCGCTTGATTTGGAAGAGTCTTTAGCTATGTTGAGTAGTATCCAAGAAGATGATGTTAAGCAGAAACCGAGGGTTTGTAAAGACGGTGGTAGAACCGATTTGCGGTTTCAGAGATCGATGTCTGATAGATTCGGAGAGCGGATTGAGAAACGGGTGATGAATGAGGAGAATGTAGCATCTAAAGATTGTTATGAAGAGTTGAGGAAAGTGATTAGAGAAAGCTTTCTTAGGCAGAATCTTTTGTCACAAACAAAAACTATAGGGACTAATAAGACTCGTGTTGTTAGAAGTGGTTTTGCTTCCTCTTCTGGTGCTGCGTCTTCGTCAACGAGCTCGAGCCAATCTTCTTTGGTCTCTGGCTCTACACAGTCCTCTGCTTCGTCTGATGTTCCACGGAGAGCTCCAAGTTTGATTGCTAGGCTTATGGGTTTGGATGTATCAACTCAAGAACCGAGCAAAAGCGTCATGAATCATGTCGATAAGCCGGATATCGTTAAGCTGTCATCAGAAAGAGAAGAGCAGAGGAAGCAGAATAAGAAGGAGAATCTTGAAACTGTGAGATGTAACTCTACAAGAGAAGCTGTTATACAATCTTTGCCTGAAGAGATTCCAAGTGAGAATCCTTCAACTATAGTGCTCATCAGACCAATGCGTGTTGTACAACCGGAAATGAAAGAAAAGCCGGGAAACAAACAAACGGTTGTACCTAAGAAACCAAGAATGCAAGGAGAGGTTCATCCAAGAATGATTAACCAAAGAAAAGATCATCAAGCCAAGGGAAGCAACAAAATGAAACTACCATTAAGTATGACCAAGAAAGATAAAGAACCGAAAGAAATAGTGCGGAAAGTAGAACAGAATGAAGGCAAAGTGATCAAGATAATGTCTCCGACCAATGCCAAAGCTGTAACACGAGATCGAAAGCCGATGGAAAGCAACAAAACCAACAAAAAGCTTGTTGTCAAGAAAGAGGATAATGCTGAAGGTAAAGACAGACATAGACTTCATAATCGAGGTCTTAAACCAACCAGCAACCCTGCGGCTCAAAAGAAACTGAACGATTCTTCAGACTTATCAAGAAACAAGAGTCAACGGTCCAGCAGGTTAAGGTCAAGCTCTAGTAGTGGTGAGCAGAAGAGTAGTAGTCGGGAAAAGAAGGTCGGTGAGGCTAATAGACCAAATGTGAGCAATCTTTCTCACTCCCTTGATGCATACTTTTCATTTCTCAAACTTACAAACATTGATTAACTCTGTTTCTCATCTAGGCCAAGAAGAAACTTCGTCAACAAGACAACGACCTAAGTTCAGAGAATAATTCATGCTCTTCACAGGACACGCGTGGATCACTTAACCAAGTTTCTACAGAAGAAACCACTTCTTCAGAGTTATACAATCAAGGTTAATACAACAGTTCTAACTCTCAAGATATGCTTAAAAATTTGTTTCTTTTCAAATATTTAACATATACTATGTTCTTGTAAAGGCCATTGTGACAATGGAGAAGTTTCATCTTGTGCTGGCATAGTTCAGCATTCTCATGAGCCAGAAACCTCTCAAATCTCACTTGGAACATTCCTATCTAGCTCCTCAGATTTCATCAAGTACGCAGAGGATCTCTTTAACTTAAACACAAACACGAAACGAAGCCAAAGAGATAGCATTGTGATCACAGACCAAAGACTTGCGCTAGACTTTGCCAAAGAAGTAGCCAGACGTAGAAGCCTTCTTCTAACAGAACCAATGTGTCGGCAACGAAGCTGTGTGCACATTGATGAGTTGTTAATGGAAGTCTGTGATGGGTTTGAGTCTCTGAGAAGTTACAAAGACACGTTTTCAGGACAGGACAGTTTCGTTAAAGAGAGCATTCACATGGTGTTGGAGAAGGATCTAAAGAGTAAGAAGACAGAGATGACAAGTGGAGTATGGGATTTGGGTTGGAGAAGTGAGTTTCAGATCGATGAAACTTATCAAGCTGTAGTTGACTTAGAGAAACTTATCTTATCAGGTTTAATTCAAGAAATTATCACTTAACAGTTGAGTTTTACTAAGAATAAATATTTTCTTCCTTTTTGTATCTTGTAGTTTAACTTTCATAAATTCTAAATTCTTTGTAACTAGTTCAATATCAAAGTATAAATAAATAATTAAAATATCAGTAAAGAACATACACAAAATTTCATAAAATGTTAGAAACATTCATGTCCGTTTCTTTTAGAATTCCAAGTAAATCCCTAGACATAAATACAGGTTTACGACTAATTCATATAGAAAAAGTATCCTAAAAAAAGAATTATCTCCAAGTTTTTCAAATAGACCATAAACAATGAATCATATTCATATGTCTATTTTAAAGTTGAACAGTTCTGCGTTTTAAGGAAAATCGATCTTTTAACCTAATAAACTAACAAAATGATTTTTCTACTAGACTAAAACTACTAGTTCACCATTTCTGATTAATTTTTTACTGTTGTAGTACGGGTTTGATCCTAATAATCCGCAAATGATAAGATTTGTTTGCTATGTTTTCTACAGAAGAAAAAACATAAACAGAAAAAGATCATTCACTTGCAAAAATGTAGCTTTTCATTTGTATTATTCTAGACGTATAGAAAAAACTGTTAAGACCAAATAAAAAAGATAGTTCTGTACGTGAGTCTGTGAGAAGACATTGGAATAAAAGAGAAGAGAGAGCCGCAAAGGAACTGAACACACACAGCTGTAATCAGCAAAGACATAACTGAAAGCCTCACAACGAGCCAAACTCGCCACGTCTCCTCCTCAATATCGTGTCGTGTCTCCTTCACACTCCTTCACGGTTTCCATTTTTTACCTTATCAACTATAAAAAGTTCCAAAACTATCAAATCTAATTTAACAAACTAATCACAGTTCTTAGTTACTCAAACAAAAGACGACAAAAGAGAATCCTAAAATGGCAAGTTTATCCATAAACAGCTTTCCTACGTACGTATATACAATGCACTCATCATCACAGGTGCAAGTGCAACTGCTAGACTTCTTCTCCCCGTCACGACAAAACACGTCCACGTAACTATTATTTCTACTTCCTCATTATATTTAATTAATCTTGTTGCTGCTAGGGAATCAATTAACGTTATCGTAAGTAGTTCTTGGAAACAGTAGAGAAAATTCAAAACATGAAAACCAATAAGTGAAAAGATTTTATCAAACATGCGTTACAAACCGAATGAGGTTTGTTTCACTCTTTTGGGTTTTGGGCCTTTTGGGTTCAGTTCTTATTGTTGGTGTTAAGGACGATTTGATTGTGTATCATGATTTTTAATTTTCATTGTTTGGTTCGTTCCTCTAAAAACACTTTATATTTAACAAAAGAAATTCGAATTTCGGACTCATAATTTCTTTGAATAAAAGACCGTAGCACGTTAAATAGATATTATTTGTTGCTAAAGTACTCTTGTTCAAATTTACAACATAATTTTGTGTCTATTTATACGGTTTTAGACATGGTTCATAATTATTAACTTATTCGCATCCTATTTTTTCCGAAGTGTAACTTACCCTATATAGCTGATTGTAATGCAACAGATTCCACAAGTGGAGAAACTTTCTACAAAGAGACATATTATTACTGTAATCCATATGTATATAGAATTTATATTTATATGTAAATATAATTATAATTGTTTGCTTCTTTATCAAAAAATGATTATGGCTCAGTTCGTATTGTGTGTATATATGTAGAGTTATCTCTAAGTTGAACGAGTTTAAACATATAAAATATTCGTATGATAGTAAATTCGTTATCAGTACACGTAGTCCAAAATATAAAAAGTGATGGAAAATGCAAGAAAGACCAAACGTTTAAAGGGGCCAAAATGAGAGCGTTTTGGAATGTTTAAATTGTTCATAATAACGTTTGTACGCAATGATGTTACACAAAATGGAAACATATATTTCAGATTGTATAAGTCTTAACTCGTCATGTACATCTCATGAATTAATTATATATTGACATCATCACATGTATGCTATTGCTAGCTAAATTTAGCGATATTCGTATTTATTCTCGAAACAGGAAGAATACCTTCTCCTACAAGTTTATTTTTATGCACGTAGCATCATCTCATAAACTAATAAAATATTATCTTTTGATTAAAAAAAAACTAATATATATTATCTTATTCTTATCACCATACCACAACCACAGAAAAAAAACTTGTCTACTTTAGGAAAATACTAAAAACTTTTTTCCTGACACAAGTATTTTCTGTTTTTTTATAATGCCTGACACAATTATTCATTTTTACTATAAAAAAAATACTCACATATATATTGATTATATAATATAATACTATTTTCATACTTGAAAAGAGAAAAAAAAAAGACAAATATTAAAACCAATGATATTACGATATTATTTTTAACGTAACTATATATAGATATACCATCAAAATTAATGACATAGGAGAATAGAAAAACATACGAAACATACTCGTGGCCGCCTATGATTGGAGAAAACTTAAGGCCAATATAAGCCGCAGAGGCGCATATGCAAAGCTCACGAAAACGGTTTGCGTGTAGCTGTATTACTAGTCAACGAGAAAACAACAAATCGTGTAAATAATATATAATGAGTTTTACCAACATGTACACAAAAACATATATATGTAGAAATTATAAGTTTATAACTTTGTATGCAGTACAAAACTCGTATAGATACGTCTATGTAATTGTACTGCATACTCTTCTATCACTTAACCTAAAAGTTTACAATACCGGATCATGGACAAAACATGTTAAACTACTTTAGTTTAATTTTCTTTCCAATCTAATCTAAGTAAAGTTAGATAAGAGTTTAAAATATAGGAAAGATAGAGGAGAAGTAAAACGTAGTTATTGGTGGAACGAGATAAAGAAGAGTTGCTTTGAAGTCAGAAATGTTGACACATGGCAGCATATGAAGACAACCCGCCGCTTAAACCACGAATGGTGACGAAAGGCTTCTTGTTTGCATGTGTGCAACCAATCTCTCTCTCTCTCTCTGTCTTTACTAAGTTTTGGTTGTCCGTAGAAAACGAAAGATATTGAACGAGAAAGATTTAAAGGTTGGTGACTTACGTACGGCTCTGAATTAGGGTTGGACAAAGTATGTATATCTATCTAAGTAAGATCCGTTTTTGTTATTTGCTTTGATCCAATTTTATTGAAAGTGCGAATAATCCTCGTTGTATTGTAATCGTGTACACATTTGTTATATAATAATGTTTTATGAAATACTTCACACGATATTACATGAAACTGAAATGAAATATTTCACTCGATATTGACAAAACTAAAGATATAATATATCTAAAACCATTGATCGTACTATACATACGACTATCCATACTTAAGACTCTTGGTGTTTTCCAAGCTAGACGATGGCCTACGTTTTTGGTTTGAATCAAGGGACTAGTTTTTCTGATTTTCACATTCTAAAAACCTCTACTAGCTGCAATTAGAGGATGTTTTTAATGTAAAATGATTAGTTTTTATGAATATTTTTATTTTATTTTAAAGTAAGTAATTTCATGCTGAATTTCATTTTCAGGCTTGTTCACTTGTTTAAAAATCATAAAGGATAAAAGTTTCTATACAAAAATAAATTATAATATTTTGGTGACTCTTTATGCTTTGCAGTATTTTTAAACATTACCTGAATTGTTTATATTAAGTATTAATTAAATATAAGATAAGGCAAAAAAAAAATGTAATTCATTAAATTTTGCAGTTTTAGATCTAACCGATGGGACTTTCTCATTGTTATGACAAATCCCACTGGTTTAAACAAGGCATAATTTGGATAAATCATATAAACCAATGGGACTTCTCATTGTTACGTAGAGAGAAGATTCAAAGACATATAAACCAATGGGACATATCTTATTGTTGTATAGAGAAGATTCAAAGATAAATCTTACCGTAGAGGTGGTAAGATTTTTTTGTAATTGGAATACAATGGAATGCCAAAGCATTCTTCTGTTGACTTTCCAAAGATTAGCAACAATAAAGGGATTTTCTCCTCAATAAATACAACAGGACTCATATTTTTTTAAGACAAGGTCGAAAACCTGTTTGCAGCTTAATGTTTTACAATTACAAAACATACGATGTTCTATAATCTAAGTTATGAGTAATTATTTCCAGGGTAATAACATCCGTGTCGGCCTCTTCCACTTCAATAGGAAATTGCACGTTTTTTTCCGAATCTTTTTGGCCTGATTAATTTAAAAACCGACCGAAGAGGAAACTTACTTTTGTAAAAGTGACCATATTTGCACATTGGAAGAGAGAAAGTTTATAATTGGAAAATTATATAAACTATTTTTTAGACTAGAAAAGAGAAGTGTTTAAGAACCACCGCTTGGTCTCACCACTCAAATTCGAACGTATGGCTCGTTTGGCACAAACTCCTGTACCAACCCTTTAGATACTAGCGGCACGAGGGGAGAACTTCTCTTTTTTTTCTATCAAATTTTTTACTACCATTTAATTTGAAAAACCAATGTCTTTTTCTCCCTAGAAAATGTATTTTTATTTTATTGCAAGATGAAGTATGTAAATAGAACTTTAAATGTTTTTATGAGCTCAACATTTTTGTCAATATATTCCCCCACAAATTTTAAACGTTTGCTTTTTGTCTTCTTTGAAAACTCAAATGCTGAAAAAAAAACTGTTACATCTCTCTCTTTTTCTTAAAAACTCTTGTCTCTCTCCTTTTGCTTTCCTCTGATGAGTTAATTGAATACTACAAAAGAGAAAAAGAATAACTTAAAACCAAAATTATCACTTATTATCTCCAGAAAAAAAGAGAGTTCACTTGAGCAATTCAATCTAGCATATTTTATACGTATATAAAAAACAATTTATAGGTAAATAAAACTTTCATATATATCATGGAACAAACTGGAACACATGGGGGTCTCTCTTATTTTAATTTATTTTTCTTCTTTGGGTTATTTAACCATATAGTTTTTATAAGTATATACTATATCTCTCCAAAACTGATAAAATAAAATAAAAGAAGGAGAGAGTCTTCTTGTATTTATCCTTCATTGGAGTAAACCCAAACGGTTTTAGATTACATATTAGCTTTGTTCATCACAGTTCTTCTCCTCTCTTAAATACTAAACCTCTTTCTCTGTTCCATTAGAACCAAAGAGACCAATCTTTCTGAACTCATCACATCTTTCGTAATACTTCAGATCCAAACGCAAAATTTAGACCATCTTACAATATTGGTCTTTCTTTATCTGAAGTGTTGGAGAAAGTATATAGCTTTGGTCGGATCTTTTCATATGTTTGTGGATCCTCTTTCTTCTCTTTTGTATAATTTTGACCTTGTCAAGCTCTTTCTGAATCTCAAAAAGATTATATGTATATGGAGATAGATAGCCAGATAGTTTATGTTGTTTTGAAGATTCGATGATAGCCAAGTTGGGTTAATTTTTCTTTTCTTTTTTTCCTTTGCCTCCTTACTCACATACAAACCCTATCTGTCCGTACAAAATACTAAAAAACCCTAACTTCTCTCTCTCGCCAATCTAGTGTTGTTATCGTTTCATTTCCACCTCCACAAGAAAAGACTGTTCAAGGATCCGTTACACCGATGAAAAGCATGCATGTGGCAGCGAACGCCGGAGATCTGGCTGAGGATTGTGGAATACTCGCTGGAGATGGTGATGAAGCTATTTTAATGGATGGAATGGATGAAGTTGGTGGAGAGATCTGGCTAGATGACCATGGAGGAGATCATGGTCATGGAGATGATGACTTGATTGTTCATCATGACCCTTCACTCTTCTACGGAGATCTCCCAACACTTCCTGATTTCCCATGCATGTCATCATCATCATCGTCTTCAACATCTCCAGCTCCTGTCAACGCGATAGTCTCCTCAGCCTCTTCTTCTTCAGCAGCTTCTTCCTCTACTTCCTCAGCTGCTTCTTGGGCTATCTTGAGATCAGACGGAGAAGATCCAGCTCCCAACCAAAACCAATACGGATCAGGAAAGTGTGATGAATCTTCTGGCGCATTGCAATCCACAGCTTCTATGGAGATTCCATTAGACACTAGTCAAGGCTTCGGTTGCGGTGAAGGCGGTGGTGATTGCATTGATATGATGGAGACTTTCGGGTACATGGATCTACTCGATAGCAACGAGTTCTTTGATACTTCAGCCATCTTCAGCCAAGATGATGACACGCCAAACCCTAACTTGATGGACCAAACCCTCGAGAGACAACAACAAGACCAGGTCGTTGTTCCAATGATGGATAATAACAGTGGAGGAGACATGCAAATGATGAACTCCTCCTTAGAACAAGACGATGATCTCGCTACTGTGTTCTTGGAGTGGCTAAAGAACAATAAAGAGACTGTGTCGGCTGAAGATTTGAGGAAAGTGAAGATAAAGAAAGCTACAATAGAGTCAGCGGCGAGAAGGCTAGGTGGTGGTAAAGAAGCGATGAAGCAGCTTTTGAAGCTGATTCTTGAATGGGTACAAACTAATCACTTACAAAGAAGACGCACCACAACCATCACCAACAACAACAACAACCTCTCTTATCAACAATCATTCCAACAAGATCCATTTCAAAACCCTAACCCTAATAACAACAACTTAATCCCACCGTCAGATCAAACCTGTTTCTCACCTTCAACATGGGTTCCTCCACCACCACCACAACAAGCTTTTGTCTCCGATCCAGGTTTCGGCTACATGCCTGCTCCGAACTATCCTCAACCACCACCGGAGTATCTTCCTTTACTCGAGTCTCCACAGTCATGGCCACCACCACCACAGTCAGGTCCTATGCCACATCAACAATTCCCCATGCCACCAAACTCGCAGTATAATCAGTTTGGAGAGCCAACAGGTTTCACCGGATACAACATGAATCCGTATCAATACCCTTATATTCCTCCAGGACAAATGAGAGATCAAAGATTGCTCCGTTTGTGTTCCTCAGCAACTAAAGAGGCAAGAAAGAAACGGATGGCCAGACAGAGAAGGTTCTTGTCTCATCACCATAGACACAACAACAACAACAGTACTAATCAGCAGAACCAGAACCAAGTCGGAGAAACCTGTACCGCCGCGGTGGCTCCTCAACTCAACCCCGTGACCACAACCACCACGGGAGGGACATGGATGTATTGGCCAAATGTCCCGTCTGTGCCGCCACCTCAGTTACCACCACCGATGGAGACTCAGTTACAAACCATGGACCGAGCTAGCTCTGCTGCTTCTGCTATGCCACGTCAGCAGGTGGTTCCAGATCGTCGGCAGGTAGGCATGCATAGTGTTCATCTTTCTCATTGTTACATGTTAAGCAAAGAGATTGCATTTTAATTAATTGCACCAAGTCTTTATTGTTTTGATGAAGAAGCTGTTTGATTAATCATTTTTTTTTTTTTTTTTTTTTGCAAAGGGAATAAAATGATTTTGATTTATTTTGGTTTTGGAATGTAATTTTTTAGGGATGGAAACCAGAAAAGAATTTGCGGTTTCTCTTGCAGAAAGTCTTGAAGCAAAGCGACGTGGGTAACCTTGGAAGGATCGTCTTGCCAAAAGTAATTTTTACTTCTCTCATTTCTTGTAGCACTTGCTTTCCTTTTTTTTTTTTTCTGTTAAAGTTGCTATGTTTAACTAAACAGTTTTGTAATTTTCACTGTTTTTGGTTAATATTAAATTTACTGAAATTTATTAAAATGAAAATATACAGAAAGAAGCTGAGACGCACTTGCCGGAGCTAGAGGCAAGAGATGGTATCTCTTTAGCCATGGAAGACATTGGCACCTCTCGTGTGTGGAACATGCGCTACAGGTAACTAACTAATTACGATGACATTTAGCAAACTTGTTGATATTTGATTATTAGTTTTTAAAGTTCTATTATGAGTTGGAACCTTCGACCAATCTCACTTTGGTTAAGATAACTTTCTTCTTTAAATGGCTTTTGCAGATTTTGGCCGAACAACAAAAGCAGGATGTATCTCCTCGAGAACACCGGTACGTGTTTTGAAAATGTACCACTTAATTAGTTTTGTTTGTGTTCTCTTGTAATTTAATTGTTGTGGCTAGCTAACTAATTTTCTTTAAAATTTCTAACTTTGATAGGTGATTTTGTGAAAACCAATGGGCTCCAAGAAGGTGATTTCATAGTCATATACTCCGACGTCAAATGTGGCAAATATGTAAGAGAAACATCACAAGAATATGCATCATTACTTTTTTGTTGGTTGTAATTAAATCTCATCATTACTTTACTATTTGTGACAGTTGATACGAGGGGTTAAAGTAAGACAACCGACGGGACAGAAGCAGGAGGCTCCACCGTCGTCAGCAGCTGCGGCGAAGAGGCAAAACAAGTCGCAGAGGAACATAAACAACAACTCTCCGTCGGCTAATGTGGTGGTCGCGTCACCAACTTCTCAAACTGTTAAATGAAGAAAAAAAGAGAGAACATATATGAAACAATATAAATATTATTATGTACCAAATAATAAGGAGGCAAAAAGGAAAAAATGGCAGCGTACCAGAGTGTGCCACTTCTCGTGCATGCATGGGATCTTCAAGCAAATGGATGGTTATGATTAAAGCTGTGTTGTCGGGGTCCGGGTTTTTACTCCATTTTTTGCTTTTTTTTTCTTTGTCGAGTCCTTTTTTTAACTCTTCTCTTCTCGTCAGGATATTGTAAAGATGATTAATTCTGGAAATGGTGTTTGTGTTATATTTCTGGAGAGATGATTATATATAAGTTCTTTTGTTTGTTGTAACCTTTTTGTAAGTATGTGGCTGAGTGGCTCAGTTCTTGAGTTGAGCTTAATTACGTTCGTTTATAATGTGAATGTTTTATGCGTATATATTTTGTATATAACGATAGGAAAGGAGAGTAACGAATATAGGGGTATTTTACAATTTACATCTCAGTTTAGTTTGAAAATTTCGTCTTAAAGGAAATTTAGGTTTGATTGGTTTAGCCATAAAATGAGCATAGCCAAATGAGAAGTTCTTTTAAGTTCTTTTAATTTTCTTATATTGCATCTATAGGGATAGGATTGGGTAAGGTATGACTTTTAAGGTTGTTCTTTTTCTAGTTTTTAAAGTTAACATTTTAGCTAATCAAGTTTTATATAGTGGTTTAAAAATGTTTAAAAACCTCATAGAATTACTTTAAGATTAACTTCTCTATTTCTGTTCTTACCAGTTTTTTTTTTAAATCCAAGAAAATTAATTTTTCTTTTCTTTAAAATTTTAAGTCACAGCCTTTTATATGAAAGTCAAGATTTTACATCATTTTTAGAAGTAAAAGTCTTCCACCATGATATCTTTTGTATATAGTTAAATATTAATTTCTGTTTATTTTTTCCTTAACTTCCAACATCTTGTTTTGACATAATACTTGAGAGTGTATATACTTTTGTTTGTTGACCAATATAGCCTATCTTTCACTCAATTTTGACATGGTACCAAAATTTCTTCCAATTATTTATGTATTTTTCTTTTTGATAATTTTTCACTTAAATCGTTTTCGTGACGTCATAGCTGACGATAGTTCAACTCGCACAAAAACGTTAAGGATTTCGATTGTAACCGTGAAAACACTGTAATTATGTTTATCTCCATATGTCAGTGGATCCAAGGCAGTTATAGAAATCACATTTGAAAACGATGAATAACTTGAAATCTATTGATCAAACATTTGTCAAGTCGAAGACCGGCTCTAATAAATAAACTTTGGAGTATGGTGAATTTAATGCTTATTGTTAGGATTTTTAATACGAGTGAGACACAACTTCAAAGTAACGTTTCATGTGCTGATACCGTCTTTGAATTTTTAAGAGTTTGCATGGACGGTTTTATTTTTGTCAGAAGTCAGACTCGTACTTATGAACTAAAAGCCTCGATGGCTTCGTATACCCAAAAAAGGTCAATCTCATAATTACTTTGTAGCTGTTACGAATGGGGTTTAAACCAATTTACTAATCTGCAAGTGCATAACTATCGTGTCTAGTAGTAAATTACAAGATCGAACCCCACAAAAACCAATAAAGTAATAATAAACATTGAACACTAGAGGTTAGCTAAGGAACACTATTTGTTCTTCTTGAGATAAAACTTCAAAGTACTGTTTCATGTGCAGATACATCAACTTTGAAGAGTTTGTATGGACGATTTTCTGTGTGTCAGAAATTAGACTCGTATTTATGAACTAAAAGTCTTAGTTGCTCCGTAGAAGTAACTCAAGTCAAGATGTTCATTATTACTTTGCAATTGTTAAGAATATGTTTTAAACCAATTTACTAACCCGCAAGTGTACAAATAGCGTGTCCTACTAGAAAGTACAGATCGACCCCACATAACAAGAAAATATCTTTGACAGTAGAGTTTAGCTAAGGGGAATCAATTTTTCTTATTGAGACAAAACTTTAAAGTACCATTTCATGTGACGACACAATTTTTGAACTTTGAAGAGTTTGCATGGACGGTTTCTTTCTGGCATAACTGCATAAGTCAGATTCACATATATGAATTAAAAACCTTAATAGCTTCGTATAAGTAAAAAAAAGTCAAACTGTTCAAAATTACTTTGTAATTGCTACAATTATGTTATAAACTGATTTACTAATTCACAAGTGCCATACTATTGTGCCCTAATAGCAACTACAAGATTGAACCCCACAAGGATCAACATAACACAAAAAAGATAGTTTTTGTTTAGTTTTTCAATCACTAAATAAATACCTAATGTAATAGAAAATCTTAAAGAAGGTAGTATCAGTGAATAAATGATTATAAAATAAGAATGTATAAGACATTAAGGTATGTGAGGGGGATTCATGAAAAGAAAAAAAAACACAAATAATAATGGAACAAACATTAAGAATTGTTCATGACTCAAATCACAAAGTGATATAACCATGTGTTAAAGTATATAATTTTGAAAATGATATCATAGATTATTGAAATCAACAAGAAGAATTCATGAAAGTAATAGATTGATGGAAAGCAATTTGGAATGACCTTCTCTAAAGTGGTGAGTTTTGGGATTGGAATCTTCTTCCTTTTGAAGGGTTTACAAGACAAAATAATTGTCTTTGAAAAGGCTAAAGCTTAAAATGATGGGCTCACAAGAAAATATAACTAGGCCTTCTTTAAAACATACGCCCACAAGCTATATAACTAAACTAGGCCTCCTTTAAGACACACGCCCACAAGCTATATATGGACATCCTAATTAAGAGAGAAGAGTTGTTCGTTTAACACTTTTTGATTTTATTATGTAAACTTATAGCCCGTAGATGCCGTCGGTCGAAATATTAACACTGTTACATTAACATTAGAGAATATAATTAGAAACTAAGAATGTTAAGCAAAATAATCAAGTTTACAAAATAGAGACTAAACTCGGGAAATAACAAACAGCGGATGCAGAGAGTTTAGATTTGTAAGCAAATTCATAAGATTTGGTTTTGGGATCATGTGTTACCAATGCAACCTTACTTTCACGATCATAGAACAATAACTTGTCCTTGTCCACAACAGCTAGTGGTGCGAGTGCCTTAAAGTGCCTAGGAAAGAAAGACGAAGTGATAAAGAGATCTATGGAATATATTTTCTTCCATGTCTTGTGTTCTGATGAACCATCCAACGACCAAATGACTTGGCTGGGACACTTTTCCTCGGATACGCACAAACGACCATCGAGGTTGCACATGACGATATTGAATTCATTAGAGACATGGACAAAGGGAGCTTTAGCGATGACTTGGAATGTTTCAGTGTGAAGATCTAAAGACAAAACCATGGTTTCGCCCTCTTGCGATAAGGCAGTGAACCAATGAAGATACCCATCTATATAAACAGGATCTTGGTGAATAACGAGATGAGGGGACGCAGGGACAACGTACCTCCAAGTGTTGGTGGCAAAATCAAAAACTTCACAAGTAGTAGCCTCGTCGTTTAGACCTAACTGCGCGGAGTTATACAACCAAACAGGCTTGTACGTGCCACTGATTTTGTCTTTACCAAATCCAGGAGAAGGATATGGAACAACACAGCTATCGTCGTCTCTCTCAGCCTCCTCGGCAGCGAATAGTTGATAGTTGCACCTAGGGAAAAATCGATACCAGCGAGTGGTGGGATTGACGACAATACTTGGCAGTCTAAAGAAATCGTAGAGGCAGACCAGACCATCACAACTAGTACTGCAAACGTCGTATAACTTGCCCTCCCAAGGAGTAGGGATCCGAACAGAAACTGATGGCCGCACCACCAACGTTCTCATAGCTTCAAAGCTTGGATCTGGGTGGGAAGCATGAGGGTCGGACAAGGACACGAAAAGCACATGTGGATCTTCTGATTGGTCGATCAACTGTCTTTCTTGGGTTTGCATGGTAGATGTCTTACAAAGAGGGGTGGACTTGAAATTGAGGATGTTGGGTACAGACTTGAACTTGAGGAGGGTTTTATGATACTCTGTCACATCTTGTCGTAGCAACTCTGCCATAGTACTTGACTCTGTTTGTGAATCTGAATGATAAAGATTGAATAGAGGAGGCCCGTATGCTTTATTTATACACAAATCTAAGCATTCTCCAACTAGGACTCGGATTATAATAGAAAAGGAAAAAAAAAAAGAAGAGATTTGGACTTTCAAACATCGAAGGTGTATTTCCAAAAGAAGAGATTTGATCGATCCATACATAATCATGTAAAATAAAATAAAATAAAATAAGGTGAAAAACTCATAGGCCTAGATACAGTATATAATATTTTGTTTTGATCGGTCCAAAATGCTTTTGCTTGAGTTTTGCCTTCTGTAGCAATTATTTTTGTACGTACTTCACTGAGCCAAATTTGCATGCTGTTAAACCTGACCTTTTAGGATTTATATTTCTTACGTCAAAGGTCGATCTTCTGAACTAGCTAAATATAACATATTTTCCCAAATATAATAAAAAACATGAAATAATCGAAAATTGTTTTTATAAATACAAAAAAAAACAAATACAGAAAATAAATTACATCTTATTTTTTTAACTAAACTCGGGTACCCATCGGATTATTCATAAAGACAAAAACCCGTTCGGGTCTACCCATCAAAACTAATACCCGTTCGAATTTTTTGAATCTGGGTTTTTTCTGGACGGGTTATTTTTGGGTTCGGGCCGGGCTGGATTTTTTGACCCATGACAACATCCCTATGTCAGAGTGTCTAGGGATTGATTTTTCTATACCTACACTTTTGTTTTTGCTTTTTCTTGCTTTGCCAAAATCCTGAACCTTCTTTTTAGTGACTGCGCTCGCTCCATGTTTATAAAACCCTGACTCCATTTGTTTTCATGCTTCACCTTCACGGCCACGTCAAACACTTATGTTCTGTGTAGAGTAGGTCTCATCAAGTGTGTATGTGTCGTGTACTCGTGTTCTGTTCCAGCAGCTTCTCAAACATCTTAATTAACTCGAAGAGTACTTAAAATCCTATTTTAGCAATGAGTAGTGATGTTGTATATTTTGAGAAAAAGATATGATCTGACGCGTGCCAAATCTCCACACCACACCTTTCTCAATTCAGACCCTACTATTACAAAGCCGTGAGACAGTTGAAAAACTTGAAAACCTATGACTTATAAGTTATCAACAAAAAGAAAGAAAAAAAAGTTAAAGTGGAATTGATATGAATAAATCTTTGAGCTTATGAAAGTGAAGTTGATTACAAAAGGAGCAGAGCGTGGTAGTTGAATAGTTTCAGATGTTGATAAAGACGTGACATATTTGAGTCAGTAAACTAATCAGTGATTTCTCATGTTTTTTTTTCTGTCTTCTTCTTCTATATAGTTGCATGAGATAGTATGATATCTCTCGAGAAACATATATATTGCTAATTGCTCTATAATAAGACTATAAGAGCATCTCCAACCACTTGAATTATGTAAGAGTTCTTTAGCTTAAATTAATAATACTTTAGAATATAAATTTATTTTTGAATTAATTTTGTGATAAAAAATAAATTAATAATAGAAAAATATTGAGTGAGAACCGGTTCATTGTGGCAAAGAGAAGCAACGCTTCTTATTCTACTGGACTCTTTTTTTTTTGTGCCTTCAATACTAGTACACTTTTTCATTAAGCAATCCATTAAAACTTACCGATAGACCTTAAATGGATATGGTTTTTAAAATGGTTTTGGTTTTAGGTTTTAGAAAAATCAATTTTATTGCCATTAATTTTTGAGAAAAGTGGATTCCTTAAAATATAGAGAATCCAAATTCTAAAAGTTTTTACCAATTTGTTAACAAAATCCAAAATCTAATTTAAATAATTTTTTAAAGATTTATTCTACTTGATTTTTTATTTTTATTTTTGTTTATTTATTTTTAATTTTTGTAAAATCCAAAAATTTAAAACTAAAATCTAAAATCTAAAATCTAAAAACCACTCAAAATCTTCTAAACATTCGTAGCCTAAACCACAACCAGTTTTTTGGATTTAAGTCTAGTAGACTAAATCGGAATAGGTAAAAAAAAAAAAAGAGTCATCAAATAAAATTTTAAACTTTTAACATGATCTATGATTTTTTATTAAAACCGGCTACACACTTATATATTACTACTAAAAGCAAAACTCTATATCACACTCTAATAATTTCTTTTTTGAAACTGTTCTGACTTAAAATAGACATTCAGTGGTTGTTGTAGTGTGCAAAGGGAACAATCTAGTTGATTTTATATCATTAATAAATTTTAGTCTGTTGTAAATATAATTTTTATTTTGGTCCATAATCTTTTTTCAGTATAAAAAGTCAGTCTTTAATCCATTCCGATTTAAAATATAACTAGGTAATGTCCCGCGCATATGCGCGGGTTGTTATATATTTATTTAATTATTTTAATTTATTTATTACTTATAAAAATAGATTAAATAAATTTTAATGCTTATGACATTTTTACATGTTATTTATTTAAATCATACAATAGAAGTATACATCCATATCTTTTGAATTTATTCGTTGATTAATTGAACAATTAATCAATTTTGATAGTAATTTTCTTTAGTACTTTTAAATATTTTTTGATAAAAAAATAATATTGTTAACGATAAAATAGGAATGATATTGGGAGAATTTAAAAAATACCTCTTTAAAAATATCACTTTTTAAATTTACCCCATTTTCAAACTTTATCAAAATAACCACTAAAAATGTTGAAATTTATCCAAATATGTGTGTAAACTTATAAATATACACAAAAATTACCTTTATTTGTGTATAAAATTTTATTTATTTCAATGTCTTACAAATTGGTTTGAATATTACAAATACATATTTTGTTAAAATAATTACATACTTTGAAAATAAAATAAATATACATGAATATGTGAGAAAGAAAAAACATATAAAGTAAAACAATGAAAATGGTTTATTTAGCTTGATTTTCTTATGGTGCGATGGTCAGAAATCAATATTTTTGAATCCCATCGATAAAGGTAATTTTCTTATAGCTATAAAATATTATTATACATATGTATTATACATTTAATAGTATAAAAAACAATGAAAAAATGAATAAGTACATAAAATAAAGAAGAAATATAATTGAAAACAAAAGTTTTAACCAAATATATAATCAAGCTCTTACAATGATATCTTAATTGAACTTTCAACCCATGCAAGAACATTAAAAATTAAACAAATAAGATATTGAGAATATCAGATATGGTGGAGGAGGATGTAAAAATGAGTATTTATAGGATAAAATATGATGTAAGTTACAATTCTAAAATAATTAAATCAGAGGAGTTATAATTATAATTTTATAGTGTGTTAATTGAAATTGAATGGAGGAAACAAATAGTCAATTCACAAGTTATATAATTTCAGTTACAATTTAGTAGTAAAGTGTGGATTTCAAGCATGAATTAAAGTATATGATTAAATGTGTTAGATATTTGGTTTAATTAAAAATAGATATGATAATTAAAAAAGAAATGTTAAATGGACCAATAAGGAGAGAGTGAAACCTTAAAAATTCCCAAAGAATAATTTTATTTTTTAATCTCTTTTTACATTCCTGTCAATTTAAGTTATATCTCTAGGTTTAACTATATTTTTCATCCTTTTAGTAAATATAATAGATAGAAAATTGAATATCAATTTTTTTTAGATAGGAAATCAAGTATAAAATTCAAAGTTAACAAAAATTATAATATTCTTTGTATTATTAAATTTTGAATCACAAACTAAATATAAGGATCATTATTCTTAAAAGAATCTCTTACAAATTGGTTTGATAATTATATAACAAAAAGTTTATTTTGTTAAAAAATTACATACTTTTGAAAATAAATTAAATATACATGAATATGTGAGAAAGAAACAAACATCCAAAGTAAAAGAATGAAGATGGTTTCTTTAGCTTGATTTTCTTATAACCATAAAATATTATTATACATATGTATTACATTTAAAAATATAAGAAACAATGAAGACATAAAGAAATACATAAAAACAAAAAATAAATAAAATTGAAAACAAATATTTAAACTAAATAATTAATCAAACTCTTACAATGATATTTTAAATGAGTTTTCACCCCATGCAAGAACTTTTAAAAAAACAAAGAGAATAATGAAGATATGAGATATGGTAGAGAAGGATGTGAGAATGGCTATTTATATGATAAGAAGTGATGTAAGTTACATTTTTAAAATAATTAAATTAGAGGAGTTATAATTATAATTTATAGTGTGTTTAATTGGAATTCAATAAAGAAAACCAATAGTCTTTGGAAATTTATATAATTTTCAGTTTCATTTTAGTAGTAAAGTGTGAATTTAAAGTATGAATTAATGTATATGAGTAAATGTGTTTTTTTGGTTTAAAATAAATATTATATTTTAAAAATAAATACAAAATAGAACAATAAAGAGAGTGAAACCTTACTTTTATATGTATGATTTTAAATAATTTTCCACCGATAAGGCTTATAAAATTTGTTGTATGATATATGACTAAGTCCTTTCATTTTCTTTGCCATTTGATTATAACTTATATTGTAATTAAATTTTGTATTGAATGATTGTCATAAATATTTATTTATTTATTTATTTTGTTGAATGATATATGATTAAGTCCTTTCATTTTCTTTGCCATTTGATTATAACTTATAGTGTATTAAATTTTGTATTGAATGATTGTCATAAACATTTTTTTTTACTTTTTTGTTTTTTTTAAAATTAAAGCCTTAAATATTTTTCCACCAATAAAGAGAGAGTGAAACCTTACTTTTATATATATGATTTTCCATCTCCAAATTTTTTGAACTCACAAAAGAAGTAACCTCTTGATTTACTATGAGGCTACCATCACTTTACTAAAACCATCATAAAACTTATTTGAATTTATCTCTAATCACATGTTTAATTTTAAAGAAAACAAATTATATTTTCTTACAAAAAGAAATGAAAAAAAAACATTAGAGAGGTTCAATCCAACAATAAAACAATAAA